TTTCATAATCACACACAACAATAGAGCTTTTATGTAACAGCTTGTGTTTTACTCCTGCACCCGGATGCTGGCTGCATTTTAGATCGCACAGCACGAAAGTAAGGAAGAGCCTCCAGCTCAATCGGGATTTCTTTTTTTTTTTTTGTAAACAGACCTTTGTTACGCTGTACTTTGTTTACACTCTGAATTCATCTTGCCTTGGTCTGATTTGGCAGGCTATTGCTTTCCCAGTTATATTCTCAATGTCTGGTTCAAAGAAACCTTAAAAAGTCAAAGACCATATTGCTGCATCTGCCTTGGATGTGTTGTGCACACAGGGTAACGTGAGGAGCCATGACCGTACCTCCATGGATCATAATGCACACAGAGAAAAATACTTTTTTTTGAAGCTGGAACTAAAAGGTTTTGAGTGAAAGTGAAAGGAAAGCAAGCTTTTAAAAGCAGCTAGGAAACTATTTGTCAAGAAGAATTTGTTATGCGTGGGTTTTGGTGCAAGGGGCCAGACGCTTTATTTGGGGCAACTTCTGAAGTTCTCTCCAGACTTGTGTTTCTGTGAACACAGACTGGTAGAACACGAGTTGTCAGAAGATTTGGCTGCGTGTGGCTGGGATGTCTAAACATGGACCACTGTTTTATAAACAGTGTTTAGTCCTTCTCCTTTTCTCTACATTGGAGCAAAACTAATGAAAGTATCAGTACATGGATGGCTTATGAATGTTCTGAACCATATTTTAAAAGTAACAGTTACATTAATTGCTGCTTTTCCCATCTCACCCTTCACCAAAATGACTGTAGCAGAACTCTGCTCTTTTCACCATTACATGTTATTTCCTTATGGAAAAGACATCATGATTATGTTAAATCCACAACATATAATTGGCTGAGTGTCACGGCATAATTTGTCTGGGTAATTATATTTGCTTGTTTTTAAGAAACATTTTAAATGTTTGTGGCTTTTATTTTAATATATGCTATCCATAGCTTGCCCTCTTTTTTTTTTGTTTTATACTATTTCAAAATTTTTGGCACAATTAATACTGACTGCCTTCTCTCTCTCTTTTTTTTTTATTTTTTTTTATTTTATTTTCCTCTCTCCAGTTTCCAGATGCTGTATGCAGATTGCTATATGACCCGTGAAGAGTTCTGGGACATGTTTGATGGTTCGTTATACCACAAGCTAAGGGAGCAAATGAATTGCAAGGATGCCTTTCCAGAAGTCTATGACAAAATCTGCAAAGCTGCGAGGCACTGAGCCTGGATGATCTATTCAAGTAATCAGGGAAAGATGAATTTACCTATAGCTAGTCAGTATATCTTTTAAATAAAAAAAAAAGCTTTATTGCTCTCCAAATAAGCTTATTCTTGTTGATGTTTAAAGGTATGAATTCTTGCTTTATAAATTTTATGTTTAGTATATCTTCGTATGTTTTAAAAGCAATTTTCCAAACTCAAAGTGATTGTTTTTAAGAAATTTTAAGTGCTAGCCTTTGTATCTGATGTAGTGACATAGGTGAATTCGCCTGTTTCCAAGCGAAAGAAAAGTAATTGGAAAGGACGAAGACGCCGGCGTTATGCCAGCTGTATACTATAGCTATATTTAACTTGTGAGAATGAGAGGACTCAGAAATAGGTGCCAAAGCTGAACGCCGCCTTGTCTAAGATAATCATGAAGTTAAAAACGTCTGCCTTCAGTTGGTGACCTGTAGGACGGGTACGAGCGATGGTACCGTCACCGTCGGGCTGTGCAACGCTGCGTGCTGTTGCACTGTACTGCTGCTGCTTGGATTACACCGTGCTGCAATCTGGGCAGAGCAGTTAAGCTCCCTAACAGTGGCTTCGGTTTCAAAACTGAGCATTGAGGTGGGAAGAAAATGCTTTTTACTTGTGCCTATCAGATTTGTACTGATGTTGATTCTGAAGCGGAAATGGATGGAGGTTTTAGTTACTTTGCAGTTGGCTAGCAGTGCACTGGGGGTTTGCCCCAAAATATCAATGTTCTGGCCTCGTAGACCACTGAAAAAAATGCTGCTATTTCATACAGCCAAATTTTAATATCAGTTTTTATTCGTTATGGATCAGTTTATTTGGATTTTGGGGGTGTTGGGTTTTGGTGGGTCTTTTTGGGGGTGGTGTTTCTTGTTGCTTAATTTTAGTGCCTTATAAATACTCAGTTGAAGGAAGACGTGGGTTATTTCAAACCGTGGCTGGTAGGAGAAGGAAGAAAAGGCTTTATTTATACAGGGTTCGTTAGAGCAAGTTGGCTGTGGATAAGAACTCTTGTTGTGAATCTTGATACACACAGGCTGTGGTTCTGACTCGAGTGATATTTTTGCTTTTCATTTCAGCTGGGTTAGATTGATAGGCTTTGTAAAAGGACTCTTTCGGTCACCTGGAGAGGAAATCCGTTCAGTTCCCCTTCCGCTGCTTGCTGGTGAGAACGTCACAGTCGCGCACCTCACACAGTCAAGCATAGGAGTTTGAAAATGTTTTGACCCTGTAGCCAGAAACACGGTTCCAAACCAAGGCCCTGTCTTGTCCCAGCAACGCTTAAAATTACTTGAAACCTTACTGAGCTAGGCGGAAAAGAAAGTAATTTTCTTGAGGCTTGCATCTTGGGTAATGCAAAGAACTTTTTCAACAGTTACCAGTGGGAGGCGTTGTAATTTTTTATGAGTGCTAAACCAATGATTTTATTTATTGATAGATGGATGCTTATGGTCCAGATGAAACCAATGATAAAGCAGTAGGAAGAATAAGCTTGGCCTGTTACTCAGTGATGCATGGTGGGCAAATTGTGTGCAAATAAATGTACCCCTTAAAAACCCCACGCAGGGAACTGGTAGTGAGGACACCCTGCCAAGGGGAGACACAGCCAGCGGAGAGCGCCTGCAGTGCTGCCCAAGCCACAGAGCAGGGCAGGAGGTGGAGCTGTGTCAGTGATCCAGGAGTGTCGGCTACACCGTTCCAGGCTTTGGGCTGCACAGAAAGGCAAACACTGATTCTAGGGGTGTCACCTGCCCTCCTGCCAGGGAAGCGGCATGAGAGCCTGTTTCCTTGTCCCTGGGGTAAAGCTACGATTTAGCCCAGTGCTTGTAAGATATTCTGCACAGAGTGAGAATGGAAAGGATAATGTTAGAACAGCTAGAGGATATGCAAATACTTAGGCTGTGTTTCACTTATGTACTGATGATCTTTAGGTATGCACGATATTTGTTTTATCACTCCTTAATTTATTGGCGAACTTTGTATGGCGTGATTGGGTACTGTAATTGTATCAGTCACACACATGCACATGCATATTTGCTGTTGCTCTTAATTTTTGGTTGTACGGGCTGTTTAAAATAAAGATCTAGCCAACGTACTCTTCAAAGTGATTCAATGAGTGATCGTTTACTTTTCAACAGTTCTGTTCATCCATTCTCGTGCTTGTCGTGTTGTTACAAACAGTCAGTGATTAGTGAGAAAAGCTGCTGTCTGATTAAGAGGCCAGAGGCATCACGAGGTGGTTGCGAGAGGGGCACTCTAGTGCTGCGAGCAGCTTTGGAGGACTGTCTTTTGAAGTCTGTGAGCTTGCAGGTATCTCTGCCTCGACACAAAACGCCGTTGTGAGTTTTAAGTGCTACAACTGCTGACACAGACACTTACTTCATTCTTCTGGCTTCACGCTACTAAATCTAATCCCTGGTTTGCATGAGCAGCCACCACAGAGAGGATGAAGATTTAGTTCACTCTTCAACCCAAGGGCTTTCACAACCACATCTTCCATTTCCCTGAAAAACGTGTCTGCAGGAGCTCTGTAGGCGTAGTCAGGGATATTCCTGCCTCTCCCTTGGTCACTGCTGGTGTGTCCCCCTCCACTGCTCTCTTCCCAGCGAGAAGCTCTTTGGCTTTCTCCTGACACCCAGGCTGCTGAATGCCTCAGCCCCACTAAAACCACAGTTCAGGTGCCAAAGCGTTCCTTTAATCATGTTCCTTTAATCGCGTTCTGTGTTGGCCCTGACTCGTGCTGCATTTCACAACTCTCAGCTGTTACCTCAGCAGCATTTCTATGGCCTGCACTCACCCGCATCACTGCTCAGACATTTCCCATCAGAGACCTCCTCCCTACTTCACTTGCCTCTCCAGAACAATAATCAGGATTTTCTCAAATCACTGCAGTTTCACCTGTGCTCAGTTACCTCACCCACCAAAGAATGGTTCCAGATTAGTTAGCATACTTAATCATACTAACATATAATTACACATAGATTTACTTATTCCAGTCTGGTCTAAAGACTAGTATGAGATTTCATAAAGTTTGGCTGTAAGTGAACAGCAGGCACTTGGTACATTTTTACAGCCATCTTTTGTTACTGCTGACACAGCTCTATTTATTTCACTTTCTCCGTTGCCTCTAGGTTTCAATATCCCACAAAATTTGGATCAATGATGCGAAATTTCCCCTAATTCCTTTCGGCCACTTATAAATATTTGCATTGTTAATTCAAGGAAAGCTGTATCTTATGGCCTGTGATGAAGATCCTTGCATGCAGGTACTTTAAAGGAGGCTCTGCTCTATCAGCGCTTTTGCAGACCCAGCTCTCTGTTGAGTTGTAGCAGTGGACCTGGGGATCTTCAGCTGTGGTAACACCAGCATGCCTGGAACAGGTATGTGCAACTTTTTAGGCAGCGTTGTTTGAAAGGAAGCGTTTAACATGAAATGAGCTGCGTGTGCCAGCAGATCTTCCTCTGGAGGACATGCAGTATCGGGTATCCCCCGGTGTGTCATTTTTATAAAGGCTGAGGTGGAAATAATGCATTACGCGACAGAAACGTTGGACTATGGATTATCTAAGAGTTTTATTGCCACAGAACAAGACTTGAGTTGTTCCCCGTGTCGTGACATGTGTGCCTTTGTGCTGTCAGCGTTTTATTCTACCCCGTCTCACCCGCTGGCGCATCTGCCGTTTCACCGATTTGGGCATCCCAGCACCATCTTGTGTGTGGGAAACAGCGATTTCTTAAGAGGTATCTGGACAACGTGGAGCAGAAATCAAATCACTCCAGCTGTTTTTAGCAACAGGCGTGAGCCGCTCGCTGTGGAAAGAGGATGTGATTCAGTGGGCTCAAATTATTGGCTGGATTAATCTCATTAGTCTTAATAAGCATGGAAGTGAATAGAGCTCTTAAAAGCCTGGCTATTCCCTTAAAAGCACAGCTGTAACTTGAAAAGTGACTTTGGAGCTGGTGCTATTTGATCAGGGAGATATGTTTGAATTCCAAGTTCTGCTGACTGTTCAGATTTTTTTGATTATTTTTTTTATTCCTACTGAAACTGCAAGATTAACAAAGCTGGGCAATATTGAAAGTTCAGTTTCATTATGCTTTCTGTGTCATAGGATAGCGAACTTCTGGCTGCTCCCCTGAAAGCTGATGAGTTATATTCAGCCAGGACTAATTTCTAACTACTCTCTGAAGATCAAGCAAGACCTTTGCAGGGCTGCTGGCCCGTCGTACCACCACTGCAGTTTGCTAACTTGGCCATGAGCAAAGGTGAGAGCGGAGGGCTGTGCTGAGGTCTCTCGTTAGTATAGCTCCTAACTGCTTCACGGGGTTTTCACACCAGCAATTTCAAAGCTTTGTGGTGAAAGTGAGCCTTGTTATCTGTCTTCCTCAAATGGGAAAACCGAGGCACAGCCTGAGAGAGTGGTTTTTGTTCAGGCCTGTCGAGCAGTCCAGTGCCTGCACTGTGAAGGGATCCAGACAGCCTGATGATCCAGCCACCTCCCAGTTCCTTCCCAGGCTGCCACTTCTAATTCAGCAGAAAGCATTTGCCTACGCCTCTGATGCAGGCAAATCGCATTTCACAAGATACACCACCACCCACCTTGGCATCTGTGAAGTGCCTCGAAAGCAGTAGCTCTTTGATGCTCTCACTACCCCTATGCAGTGGGAAAACCCAAAGATCTCACTCTCTCGAGATGGAAGAGGTGCAGAAATACCAACCTCCCTGTCCCCAGAGGGAACCTTTGGTGGCAAGTGCTTCTCAGTCCCAACCCAGTGATTGAGTTGCCCACAGAGGTGGTGGAGGCTCCATCCCTTGAGGGGAGGCATGGAGGCTTGATGGAGCTCTGAGCAACATGATCTATTTAAAGAGGTCTCTGCTCAACTGCAGGGAGGTTGGATTAGATGACCTTTAACGTTCCCTTCCAGCCCAATGCATTCTATGATTCTATGCTTTAACTAGCTGATCATCCCAACTCACATCAACTGTAGTATCAGGATGTGCACTCACGATGATTTTCCTGTAAGCCAGCCACTTACAGCCTCTTGTCTCTCAGACTTACCGCAAGTAGGCATCCCGCATCAAGTTGCTGAGGAACCGCTGCACGTCGCACCGGTACAGAGACTGGTATCTCATCTTCTGAGGGTATTTTTCATGGTTGGTGATGTCGTAGCGACCAACACCTACAGGGTTCTGGAAGGAGAAGGTCTCCTGTTTCCTCATGCAGAGGCAGCATGGGGGATGCAAAACCAGGTAGAGCCCTCACGTGGCCAGGCTTTCAGTTGCTAAAATAACATAGAATTGTTTTGGCTGCAAAAGACCTTTAAGATCGAGTCCAACCACTAATCCAGCACTGCTGTGTCCACTAAACCATCACATCTGTGCATCTTTTAAATACCTCCTGGGATGGTGAGTCCACCACTTCCCTGGGCAGCCTGTTCCAGTGCTTGACAATGCTTCAGGTGAAGAATTTTTCCTAATATCCAATCTAAACCTCACCTGGTGCAACTTGAGGCCATTTCCTCTTGCCCAATCATTTGTTACATAGGAGAAGAGACTGACCCTCACCTCGCTACAACCTCTTTTCAGGTAGTTGTAGAGAGTGATAAGATCTCCCCTCAGTCTCCTTTCCTCTAGGCAGTTCCCTCAGCCGCTGCTTGTGAGACTTGTTCTCCAGACCCTTCACCAGCTTTGTTGCCCTTCTCTGGACACGCTCCAGCACCTCGATGTCTTTCTTTTGAGGGGCCCAAAACTGAACACAGGACTTGAGGTGTGGCCTCACCAGTGCTGAGTACGGGGGGACAGTCACTGCCCTGGTCCTGCTGGTCACACTATTTCTGATCCAGGCCAGGATGCTGTTGGCCTTCTTGGCCACCTGGGCACACAGCTGGTTCACATTCAAGTGGCCATCGACCAACACCGCCAGGTCCTATTCCCACAGGCTGCTCCCCAGCCACTCTTCCCCAAGGCTGTAGTGTTGCCTGGGGTTGTCATGACCCAAGTGCAGGATGCAGCACTTGGCCTTGTGGAATCTCATTCAGTTGGCCCCAGTCCCTCAATCCAGCCTGTCCAGATCCTTCTGCAGAGCCTCCCTAGCCTCCAGCAGATGAACACTCCCGCCCAACTTGGTGTCATCTGCAAACTTACTGAGGGTACGCTGGATCCCCTCATCCAGCTCATTGATAAAAATATTAAACAGAATTGGTCCCAATACAGGTCCCAACACCTTGGCAACTGATACAACAATATACAGCATATTTTACTCAAACTGAGCCTGTATTGTAGGGGAGGGAGAAGAAAACACACTGATCAGGGTTAACCCAGCCAGTTCTTCTTGTCACAGTGGTTCATAAAGAAATCTTGCTCTGTGGGCTCAAGCATGCTACCAGTTGCCTACTGCTAGCTGTAGTGAAAGGCTGCCGTGTCACAACCTCCCCACTGAAATGTAATCTGTCGAGTTCCCCAGCAATTAGGAAGATGTCTTCATCCTTGACCTCTTCCAAGTTCTCTGCTCCCTACTCATCTGGATAAAGGAGAGAAACCACGTGGAAGCCTGCTCCTCATCCCTAACCAAGGTGGACTATTTCAGACTAAAACTTTCCCTGTCTGCTTTGAACCCTTTAGGCTTTGTTCTGGTTCTCCATGGGGAAGCTGCCAAGATGAATACAGCTCCAGGAACACGTACTAAGTGAAGGGCTCCTGCCCGCACTGGCTCTGCTGATGCTGCTAGAGGAAAAACTTGCTTTCAAGAAGCAGAATATGACTTTCTGGGAGGGTATGGGGAGCTTCTGGCACCTAAAAAGACTCAAACCCACTGCCCTCATCCATGAAGTGCCTCAAATGCAGAGCAAAACTAATGGGAAGTGTTATCTGAGCAAAGGGCAAGGGCCTGAGGATGCAGGCAGAGATAATGTGGGTGCTGCTGAGCTCCTGCCCCTCTGCTCAGCACCAGCCAAGCTCACCTGCCTACGGGCAGCGTGTGCTCAGTGGTGGGTGCTCAGCATGCTTCTGTACGCAGGGGGCACCTGTCCTTTGACCTGGCCATGGGCATTTATTCACCATTTATTCTTTGGCAACCTGTTCTAGGCATCACCCAGAGAGGGACTCATCTCCTCTCTAAAGGATGAGCATCTGGCCAAATTGCCCAGGTTTTCCTGATAATCAGTGGGGAAAGGAAAGAAGCTCCTGATATCAGTCTGTTCTTCTATCACAGGTGGTCACCTGACGTAGGACTTCTGATGGGGTGCTGCTCCATTCAGAGGACACAGCTAACGTTTTTCTGGCTGAAGCTGATGAGGAGTGTCCACCCTCACTTGGCTCAGAAGAGTTTCATCCTCTCTCAGGGGTAATAGAAATGGATTGGGGATGGTCATGGAGGAAGCTCAGAGCCTGACCAATCCTGCATCCCTCTCCCACTGCTGTATCTGTTCACTCACCTCATTCCCAGTAAAGAGACGATAGAATCTTCTGTCAAATCGCTTGGCAGATGACCAGAAGGGGGCTTGGCTGAAGTACTCTGATCTCTCAATGGGCTTTGGGTTGTAGGAGCCTGGCCCCACTGAATTCTATGCAGAGAAAAAGCTATTATGCTTCAGTTCACTTGTAAATGAGAGAGCCACACAACATCAGAGATCCATCCATCCATCCATCCATCCATCCATCCATCCATCCATCCCTGGGGACACCAGTGACACTGGCTGGTGCCCATGTCCCTGCTCCCACTGACCGCATCCCTCGGACACTGGCTGAGTGTGGCCCAGAAGATCCTCTCTGTGGGGCACCTCGGGTTCCTTGACAGGGTGCTGAAACAGCCTTTCTTCTTGTTCTCCTTCAACATCAGCTCATCCAGGAAACCCTTGACAGTGCCAGTGCTCACCTTGATGCCTCTCTGCTGGGACAAGGGAGCTACGTGAGGGGCTCAGCTGCCGGTGGTCCCGCACGTCACCCCCTTGGTCCTGTACTACAAAGTCAAAGAGCAAAATCCCAGCAGTACAGATGCTGTCCTCAGCAATGTGTTGGCAATGCCACAGCTTGCTGAGAAACCCTGTCTGGGTGTGGGGCCCTGGGGCGATGTACCTCCAAGGTGTGATGGCCACCACTGGTGGGCTTCAACCTGCCACCCGAGAAGAAGGTCTGGCAGGGGCCACGGCCACGTGCCCGGCGCAGCATCTCATCAACGCTGCTCCGCAGGTCATAGGTGCCGGGTCCCAGACCACTGCCCTGCAGGCACAGGGAGAACGGTGTTGAGGGCTGTGCTGAGCAGGGGACACCCCACCAATGTGTCCCCACAGCAAGGGGCAGGACTCACCGTAGTTGCCGGCAGGGCACACCTCACCGTCCTGCTGTCCATCAGCCCTTTCGTGCTGGCAGAGCGCTTGTCCCTCTCCTCTAGAAGGGTGTAGGGGTTGTATGTGCCAGGCCCCGGGAAGCAGTCCTGCAGGACAGGTAGGGGGCACCATGGGCAGGCTCAGCAAGGGTGACAGTCCCCAGCCCAGAAAGATGAGATGGCGTCCACGGTAGCTCCTAACCCCTCCAGAGGCATCCGCCCAGAGCCGAGTCCCGTAGCCAACAGGCACCATTCCCTGGCACCTCCTGTGTCAGGGTGTGCCGTACCTTGT